TTTTCAGCAACATCTAGTGGTTGAGTGGTTGAATCATCCTCCCTGGTCCTCCCCCCCCCCCCCGCTTCCAAACACAAAGGAGTTGCTACGGTGTCTCTCAGGTGTCAAAAACCTTTGATAATTCCAACCGCGATGTCTACCAGCAGCTTCAGGGCTAGTRATGTTTCAAGTGGTAAGATTATGAGCTTTAATAAGTAAAATTATCCCAGCTACAATGACAGACAACAAATATTACATTTATAGTATTACAACTAAAACCGTTTTTGACGCCGCCACCGCAGTTTGTCCTTCATGAGCCTTCATAGACAAGATGGCGGTGCAAGATGGCGGCTGCCTGTAGTGGTGACCCGCGACCATGGAGATATAAACAGCTTTTTGTAAGGTAAAAATAATAAAACAAGGTCTTTGTCTGTAATGATTAGACATGTTTTTTTTTTTATTGTCATAAGTGATTATCTCAATTTCACTGTGCCTTTAAGTAGGTTTTTGGTGCTAAATATATATTTTTTCTAAACTTCAGAAAAACTCTCACTAACCTGATGTGTTACTTTGTAAATGGCTGTTGATGCTCTCTAACCATGAGGACAAAGACACCACAGAGGTGAAAGGACAGTGTTGTTTGCAGAAATGACTATGCAAAGGAAATGGAGCTTTGGACCGTGGAGGCAGGTGGGTTTCTGCACGTGGTTATGTATAAATCTGGCCTCTTGTTTCCGTGACATCACTCGTGTACCGAGGTTACTGTGGGGTGGGGGGTTTCAGAGCAGCACCGCTCCTCACTTTCCAAACGTTTGTTAAACAGAATATAACACCTTCATCCCTACCGGCAGGACTATTTCATGCTCTGAACGCCACCTACTATCTCTGCAGCTCCAATTAAAAGGCATTTCATCAGATAATGCTCTCTGCACCAGATTAAATGCAGACATGCAGTACCTGCTGCTGCACAAAGCTTTATGGTTTAGCTTTATTTACTGAGCACACATCTAATACCCGAGGCAATAAGTGCTGTCCTTATTTGCCCACATCAGGACTCAGAATCCAGACATTTGAAGGAAAAACTTTGACAGTTATCTTTCAGCTGTCGTTGAAATATCAACTCATCCTCACATTGTTGCCACCGAATTTTTGTCTGTTAGTAAAATATCTCATGAACTAATGTAAATCTCAGAAAGTGTTCACTGGATGTGAGTCTACGACTGATACATTTTTATAGTCAGTGCAATTCAAGATGGCCACCACGGCTGGTCAAATGTAGCCAACACTTAGTGGTAGTAGCCAAAACTGGTCCACAACAAGTAGTTTGAACATAAATCGATTGCACAAGATCTTACGTAGTCTTTAACATTTAAAGTCCAAGATATTTGTCTGTTGGGGAAATATCTCATGAACAACTTTACATATTTTAATGAAACTAAGATGGCCAGCAGATCCAACAGACCTTAGAAAACACAAAAATGGTTAGAAAATCTGTTGTTTGATTTGATTTAGTGATTTAAAAGGAAAAGATTACTAAAAATCAAGCCTGACTCAGCATGATTGCTGTTTTACAGCAGGTTCCTGTTCTGCAGCACATAAACACTCAGAATTACAGCATCACAATCACATCATTATTATTACACAATAGGCACAAAGACAAACAAGCATACCAAATTTCAAAAAGGCAGCATTTGCAAAATAGGACGTCTAAATATGAGCACAACAAAAAGTGTCCAGCAGATGGCAGACAAGATTCTTCTTAAAGGTTTTTTTTTTGCAGATATTAAGCTAAATTTTGGTGTGGCGGTAGCTGAGAGTCGTTTACGCCACAAACTCTGACTGTGACACATTGTGCAACTTCTTTGCTTTAAAATGTTTTGCAACAACTCTTACAGCCAACGTTGTATGGCTGTTAGCAAAATATCTCCTGAACCACTTGACAGATTTTAGTGAAACTAAATCTTATGATCCACCTAACTAATGAACTTTAAATCAGCTCAGTTGAAGATGGCCGCCACAGCTAACTGACCCCTGGAAACACAAAAAGATATAGAACTGTCAGTTTAACAGATGCTAAGCTAATGTTAGGGTGGTTGTAGCTGAGAGTCAGTCTCAGCACATTCTCTGAGAACTAACTCGTCTTAATCTCACATACACGATGCTATTTAAAGTTTTTGAAAGTGGCCACAAAGCTTTGCTATGAAAGGTGGTGGGTGATATGTAAAATCTTCCTTTAAATACATCAGTTTTAACAAACCATGAACGTAGTTTTGATTTTTCTTTTTATTTCTTAATAATAAAAGCTGTATAAGCAGTTGGTGAACAATGACTCTTTAAAATGATTGTTTTGATATGCTCTACACATCCAGTCTTTTATTTTCTGTTGTTTCTAAAGAGAATTTCTGGCATCTTGTTGCTGTTCTATTTTCTCTCACAACTCACTTAGTTTGTGTGTTTTTACATTTCGATTATATCAAAACAGCACTCCATGTTGACAGAATTTAATAAAACAATTGTTTAATCCCAAATAAGAGAGAATAAATGTGTTGAGTTCTGCCTTGTCGTTGAACAAAATCAGATTTGACATGTTGTATGTCCTGGTTTGGTTTGTACAGATCTGTCCCAGTCTGATGTACTCTGCCTCCCTCTGCTGCTTCAAATCAGTAAATCCTCTTCAGTCCAATCAGAGAACTTCTGCATCAACCTCAGTAATCTTGTCCTTCAGATATTCTCCATTTGTTTCTCTTCTATTTAATATGATTTAACCATTTGTAACAAATTGGCGTATATATATTTTCATGTACCCAAAAGGTCAGATTTAGGTAGGATGTTTTCCAGGCACATAGTTCAATTCTATACCACAACCAAGTAAATACAGTTAGAGCCACATCTGTTTGGACCGAGACATTTATTACAATATTTAACTTTGAAGCAGTTGAAGTTCAGACTCTCAGCTTTAATTTAGTGAACAACGTGATTGTATAGAAATGTGAGGAACTAAAGCATTTTTAAACACAATCTCTTCATTGCAGGGGGTCGAAATTGATTGGACAAATACAATAATTGTAAATAAAATGTTCATTTCTAGTACTCGGTTTAAAAGCCTTTGTTGGCAATGACTGCCTGAAGTCTTGAACTCATGGACGTCACCAGACGCTGTGTTTCCTCCTTTTTAATGCTCTGCCAGGCCTTCACTGCGGCGGTTTTCAGTTGTTTGTGGGTCTTTCTGTCTGAAGTTTAGTCTTTAACAAGTGAAATGCTCAATTGGGTTGAGATCAGGTGACTGACTTGGCCATTCAAGAATATTCCACGTCTTTGCTTTAATAAACTCCTGGGTTGCTTTGGCTTTATGTTTTGGGTCAGTCCCTGCTTTAAACTTCTAAACTTTATACCTGACCTGTCTGGTGTGTTCCTTGGTCTGTATGATGCCGCTTGAGCGTTAAGATTCTGTAAGAGACCTCTGAGACCTTCACAGAACTGAACGTATCCTGAAATTAAACCCCACACACTTCCTTCTACTTAGGTGACATCTGAAGGCAGTGGGTTTTAGTTAGGGATATCAGAGGAGGCAGAATGTACACACACCACACCTTTCATATTTTTCTTTATCTGTCACATAAAATCCCTGGAAAATACTTTGAAATTCTGGTTTTAACAGGAGAAAATGTGAAAGGTTTATTTGTATGAACACTTGTAAAAGACACTGTAACCTTCACTTTTGCTATTATTAAGCAAATGGTAAACTCTTTAAAACTGCCAAGCTGTGAGCCAGAATCAAAACCACTAAGGTCTCTGTTTAAGAGCTGCTTGATGCAGTCTTAAGCCAGTTTTATAAGACATTAAGCTGAACTTTGGTGTGGTAGTAGCTGACAGTTTCTTTTAAAAACTCATGAACCATGAAACAGATGTCAATGGGTGTACATCTATAACTATAACTTTTAAAATCCATCATATTCAAGAAAAACACTACAGCCAACTGACCAATAAAAACACAAAAATACGCAAAAATTCTGGTGCGTCAGTTGCCAAGCATCATTTATGACACGAATTGCTGCACACATAATTTGTGTATTAAAATGTTTTAATTTACTGTTGGCATCAAACCTGCTCACCTGTTAACACAATGCCTTATTTTACTGAGACTTGAGTAATCACTAAATGTGTACAAATGGTCAACTTCTGAAATGAGCCCAATTCAAGATGGCCACTATAACTAATAACATTTAGCCAAAACTAAAAGGGTGATAACTTAAGTCTAATTCACAGAAACTGAGCTAAATTTGGTGTGGTAGTAGCTGAGAGTCTTACACAATGGAAAGTCTTATTGCTCACACATCTTGTAACATCTCACATGGGATTATCCATCACATCATTTATAATGTTTGATCAACTTCTGCCTTATCATAAGACTTTTTCTTAAACTAAGTTTGAAATTAAAAACTTCCAAATAGTTTTACTTTTCATCTGTGACAGGTCAAAATGTCACATATAAAAATCTATAACAGACTGACGATGAAAACCTGAAAAGTACCAGATTCAAATACTATAAAAAAAGTTACTCCACAGTCATGTAGTGTTACAAAACCTTAGAAGAAAAGCCCAACCTGAGGTAAAAACCTGTGCATGGTTTATTTTTCTCTTCCCCACAAAGAAGACGGCACAAAACCTTTTTTAAAGCATCTGAACACTTTTCACTTTCCAAAAGCGATTTAATCAAAAACATTAGGAATTTTCTTCAGTTTATTTGTATTACAAGGCACTAGGGATGGGCATAATCGTATTGTGTGCAAATAATCGTCAGAGAAACATTAATCGATTACTTTGTAGTACTTGACGATTAATACGATTAATGCAACCAAGCAGACTGATGGATATTTCCCCAGTCAGTCCGCTCGGTGCTCCTCTCCGCTTCAAATATGACGAACATTATAAAAAATCTGTAATTTATTTATCTATCAACACAATTTAAAATTTGATGTATAGCCCCAAGTCTGTAATTTTGACAATTTGGAACAGATTTGTATGAAGAACAAATATTTCCCACTAAATTGGTCATGTGACTAGGACATAAGGGTGTTCAGGGACTCTATGGAATTAAGTGTCAATTTAATCATTATCAGCTAAATACCACAATTAATCGTGATTAAGTTTTTTTGCCAATTTTTTTTTGCCAATTTTTCCCAACCCTACAAGGCACAAAAATGGATTCAGTGACTCATGAATGCTCTTTGCTCCGATCACAAGATAAAACTTAATGTATATAAACTTATTGTTGATTCCATCTCTTTTCATCTTTGCTACAGAGGTCGCCACCAACAGTTAAATATTCCTCCAGTTTTTTAAGACGTTTCCTACTGCTTCCAGAGTGCTGGCTTTCTGTAAAAACAAAGAAAAAGTCTCAACACAGGAACAAACCTACAAATAACACTGATTAGTTTTTACCTCAGACTTTCAAGTTTAATAGACATAAAATGATATTTTGGCAGCAACAAAGTGATTGCCACACATTCACTATTTAAAATAGTATACTATTACTAAAATTTTCACATATTTTATCCATTTTTGAGCCCCTTTTCCACAACAAATCACAAAAATTTAACAAAATTTAAGATGTTTTTTTATTTGTACATTTAAGTGTTACACATTATATTAAAAAATGATCTTCATCCCCAATATCAGTAAGTTCAATATATCCATATTAAGAATAACTGATTGAGCTGTAATTAATCACAAGCTGTTACATTTTAAATACTATACATTTATGTTCTGGACACTAGTAATACTATAAGTTTAGATGCTTTAGATGTTTGGATGATTGTGATGTGGGCTTACTGTAATTGATGTTATTATTATAATATTGAACAATATCACATAATCAAAAGATTTTCTAATGTTTCACACACACACACTACCAAACAGTTTACATTGCTTTACAATGCATCATGTGTGGAGAAACAATTTAATATAAGAAAAACTCTGAAGCTTATGGATTTTAAATGATATTTTCATGAAAAAACAAAAGTTTTACTACAGTCATAATTYACTCAATGGATTTTGGATATTCTTCAACATGTAAGTGGTAAATTTACAGTGAAAAAAATTCAGAAATGTATGAAAACTGAAAATGTACCTTTTTCCTCCAAAATTGTAAMTACTCAATAAACACTTTTTCTTGTAAGTTTGTAATTTTCAAACATAAGTAAATATTCATGTTTTTAATTTATTTATTGTTTATTTATTTTTTGCAAATATGACATTAATCAGAATTTCTGAGATCTTTACCTGAATTTTGCCCTGCCCACTTACCCCTTAATTATAGTGGGTTTTTTTTTTTACAACGGCCCTAAATGCACTGTTGTAGTTTTCACTTACCTTTATGAAGCAAAGACGAATGTATTTCTCAAAGTGTTTCTTAGATTCCTCTCCAACAAAGGCTGTGACAGGTATCGCAGCTAATTTCTGGAAGAGAAGTCAATTTGKTTAATTTAATTTAAAACCAAACTGCTGCAATGGAAGTGTTAGAATGGAGAAACAATGCCACCTTTTCTTTTATCATCCACTTTACAAACTTGTAGTCGTAGGCCTCATCATCGACCATGTGTGACAGGTCCTGGTCTGCAGGGGACAYRGGAAAAGGGTGACTTTAGATGACCTTTCATGAAAGTTCAGAGCAGAACAACAGAGTCTAGAAGAGAAGAACAGCAGAGAGCACCWGWCTGTGTAACGGTGTGTTCAACTAGCTGTCTGTTAGCAAAATATCTCATGAAGCACAGGAGGGATTTTAATGAAACTTTGATTATGGCACACATTCAATATGGCATTGTTTCAATAAGCTTCTGTAATGTCACAAGATTTATTTCCATCCAGTGCTGCATTAATTTTTCACCAACATCTTGCATTGACGATGGTAGAGTCTGATCTTCTCCAGCACATCCCAAAGATTCTCACTGGACTCTGTGGAGTCAATCCATGTGTGAAAATGATGTCTCATGCTCCCTGAACCACTCTTTCACAATAAGAGCCCCATGAATCCTGGCATTGTCATCTTGGATGATGCCTGTGCCTTCAGGGAAGAAACAACCCATTGATGGAATAACCTGGTCATTCAGTATATTCAGGTCAGCTGACCTCATTCTTTGACCTCAGACTGTTGTTGAACCTAGACCTGACCAACTGCAGAAACCCCACATCATAGGCCTGCCCCCACAGGTTGCACAGTAGGCACTAGGCATGATGGGTGCATCACTTCCCCTGCCTGTCTTCTTATCCTGATGAGCCCATCACTCTGGAACAGGGTCAGTCTGGACTCATCAGACCACATGACCTTCTTCCATTGCTCCAGAGTCCAATCTTTATGCTCCCTAGCAAACTGAAATCTTTTTTTTTCCAGTTGGCCTCACTGATTAGTGGTTTTCTTAAGGCTACACAGCTGTTCAGTCCTAATCCCTTGAGTTCCTTTCACGTTGTGCATGTGGAAATACTCTTACTTTCACTATTAAACATAGCCCGGCGTTCTACTGTTGTTTTTCTTTGATTTGATTTCACCAAACGTCACCGATCACGATCATTCAGGGTTTTTTTCTGGCCACAT